GTCATTCGCACTCAGTCAACGTTCCGATTTCGAACAATATTTATTTTTTTAACGTTATTACTACACGTTGTACCTGTACCCATAGACGTGCGTGCGCGTGTGATTGTATACACTATACAGACTAAGTAAACGCAATGTTAAATAATTAAATTGGACGTSATTGGCGGACGTTCCGAATATTCATCTTTTCGAATACATAAAATAGGTTTAATTATTATTTATATAAGCGAGACGGTGAGCGGAAAAACAAATACGAACGACGTCGACGAAACGCGACRAGAAAAACAATCGYGACATATCATTCACATGGTTCAGCCGGTTAAAACAATACGAGTAGATGCTAAGAGAAAATTGTTYTGGTATTGAATTAACGAACAGAGATGAAAAACAATAGTGAACCTTATACACGATTCCTTTAAAACCGGCCAAAATAATAAATGATGGCAAATTTTTGAAATATAATAATAAGACATATTATTATAAAGGATAAATGTAAAAAAAACACGATAATCTTTAATTGTCTTATATTGCGATATAATATAATTTACTTATATACATATYATACTCACGAGGAGCGTGCATATACTCTATGGAAGCATCTAACCTAACGTAACCTAACGTATACCACGTATACCACTTGTACATTACCGTCGGACGTATAATTTAAACATAGTATACCTATTATAAAATGTCTCTGGGGTTGGGTTTGTGGCACATTCGATAAGTAAACGACTCGGCAGTTATACATATTATATTATATATAGCTGATAAGTGAATGCATTTTATATCGAAGAATCGTCGTAGTTGGCTCTGCACCGGGGGCCGTGTCTCCACGAGTCAAAATATAATATATACACATTGTACAGACTACAGAAAACACACACAGAGAGTGTAAAAAGGAGGGCGAGCGGGCGCGGTGTTTCCTGGTCGTGCGTGGCGTGTCTCCGCAATTAATTTCGTATTCCCCGAGTACACACACGCGTCACCGGCATACACGACTACGACCGCGACAACCGTGGGGGGTGACGTCATTTATATCCGTACAATCGATATTTGTGCGTATGCCCGAGACCCGAAACCCCTTTTCCGCGCTAAGGTTTTTTGACAARCTCGACAACAACATACGCGAGAGTGCATATATATTATATATATATACATGTATTAGATTGCAGCGGTGCAGTGTTATAGAGAGAATAAGAGTCTCGGCGAGGATTATATAGAGCTGCGGCGGATAGGGACGACTGGCGACTGCAGCGGCGACATCAGACAGGCGAAAGTATCGGTGCGGTCGGGGGAGGGAGAGGGGCGAACAAAAAAAAAAAAAAAAAAAAAAAAACACACATCATTGTAAAATCAATACATTCATCACTTCGTTCAGAATCTAAAATTGTATATACAAATTCCTAGCATGATTCCGTCGTTATTTTTTAATCGACTGCCTCGGGAACGCTCTCCGCTTTATCTCACATATATAATAATAATAATGATAAGTTGTAATAAACACCCGATGCTAAACGCGAAAACCAAATTCGGTTTTAAAAAGGGTCACGTTCGAAGGGCAGCCCACCCTAATTTCGGTGTATATGATTTCTTTGTGCGGTGTCGCTACACGGCTACACAGACACACAGGGCGGACACGCGCGCATTGCATATATACATATATAGCGGCGGGGGCGAACGTGGCAGTGTATATAGTGTGTATATTACAACTTATCATTATTATTATTATATATGTGAGATAAAGCGGAGAGCGTTCCCGAGGCAGTCGATTAAAAAATAACGACGGAATCATGCTAGGAATTCAATTTCGCGACCGTCCAGTCGTTGCGGCGAAAATGGAAAACAAATAGTAAAAAAATGATATTATAAAGAACCTCGTTATATATTTTATAATCGACCTCCGCCGCCGGACCCCTCACTATATAATATACAATACACATATTATTATACACTATTATCTCGTTATATTTTCTTATTCTATAATGTTATACTATTGTGTTACAACGAAGTTGTTGACTTATTTCTCTTTACCCGTTTCCAGCCATACTGTATATGTAACCCTCGAAAACAGCTCATGTATGGTCTTTAATATAATACTATTATGTGTGTTTGTGCGGCCACCAATAATAAACGTGCGCAAAAAAAATAAAAATATAAAATGTATAAAACTGGCCAAATTCTTTTATCCGAGCTAACGCTGGTCCTGCAGTTATAATAGTGCGATATATGGTCTACAATTGAGCTACCACGTATTATGTACATATACCTCGTGGTCCATACCTATATATCATGATGGCGTGTGCCTATATACACGAGGAGTAAATAATGTCGAGAAAACTAGCCGACTGCCGTTTCCATACACACACACACACACACACACACACACACACATGCAAACATAAAATATAAAGGGAAAAATATGCCATAAATTCACGGTACAGGTAGGTACCTCCAGGTAACCACAAATATATAAATGTATGGCCGAATAACATATTATGATAAAATAATAAAAACGAAAAAACGCGTCATATTTCGTTTCGTATTTAAAGCTAAAACATAATAATAAATCACTTTTAGAAACGCACGTGTATTTTATAATATTTTCGGTATCTACAACGAACGATTTTAATTTTTGCTACGAAACCGTAGAAAAAAAAATTCGTGAGGGTCAAAATATGTACTTAATATTATAGGCCATTTATATTATAATTTACGACTCCTTATAAGTTATTACAACTGAACGTAACGTTAATATTATTAATTACATATAATACATAGTAATTCGGTAAGTTGGTTAGATAAATCTATGTARAATAACCTAACCTATGTCTAAAGTATYAAAATATATAGCCSGTGGGGAAGGATATAGGAAGGGGTAATCAATAGCTATAGTACACGTAACAATTAAAAAATAATTATTTGGATAAAATATTACCGATATCAATTACGATTCTTCGAAAATATAACATTATAATACAACCATCATCTGGTGGTATCATTACCACCTTAYTAATTGATACATTTGATGTGTTTCATACGTCTAAAACGCGTATGTGATTGTTTTCATCATGACAAAACAAATAGGTATGATCACAGATTTTTGATACGCTTCCCTAGCTCCTCACTTCACCACAGAAATTGGTGGGGGACTTTCACCTCTTTTCATTTGTTGCTGTTCTGCTGGTATACCACTGATAGTGATTGATGGTTATCAAATATATTCTAATATGTATTATTTATATCATGACAAAATAAATAACAATAAAATTATTACAAAATTCAAATTCTTACAAATTAATCACGGATCCTTGGTAATCAAATGACAAAAGACGAAAATCAATTATCATCCATGCATTTAAGTGGTATAGACAACGCTTTAGKCGCCATAAAGTATAAGCCAATCAAAAGACGCGGTAGGCTCCCACTCTRWTCTGCGCAGACTGAACAAAATTCAGTTTGTTGTGATCATACCTATTTATTTYGTCATGGTTTTCATGTGAAAAAAAACGTTGACTTACTTCGTAGGAGTTTGCCACAGAATGTCGGTCTTGTTTCAATTGCTCAAACTTGGATTTGTATTGAAGCAATGACCGTACGGTTTCTTCCATTCTGTAAAAATATAAAACAATAATATTATGAAATTTATTATAATATAGTATACTAGTAAACATATATAATATATGTGAAAATAAATGTATATACAACAAAGTCGATAAGACAATACACGCGCAGTCACGTCGTCTGCAGAGAAGTTTATAATTTTTTCGGTCTATATATCGTATAAACATATAAAATATATACAGACTGTATAATATATTATATACACGGCACAGCGGACTGCACAAAATGGAAAATACCCAATGGAAGTGTTTTTCACACAGACCTCGGCGCGGGTTATATCGAGAGTATATATATTGTTTACAACCTCGACGAAATCGTTGGAGGAGAAAATTGAGAAGAAATTGAAAACGCATAAAAAAAAAAACGAACCCGTAGAGTTATATTATTATATACAGTGGTGACGGTGCTAWAGTAAAGTAAAAAAAGAAAAAATAATAATAAATAAAAGTACGGGATGACTATGGGAATACATAATAACATATAAAATCGTTGGGTTAAACGCACATGTATGTATAATATACCAGCGTTATTTATTAAAACGGTACCGGGGTGGCGGTATCGCGTATACGCATAATATATAATATATAATATTAAATTTATATCTATATGCGAGGTATACAGCCGCCGTCGGACGTGGGTACGCGATGATCGTTTCTCTCTTTTTCGAGGGAAACGTAAAAATGTGCAGCATAGTGTGCAGCATAATGGTTATATTATATTACAATATACGATAGATGCCGACTCTTATAATTCAGGAGGGGTGGACGAGAAAATATAAGAAGTCGGAAAAAAAGACCTGTTTCATTTTTCGCACCCTCGTAGTAGGTACGCACGGCGATATTATTTAATAATAATAATAAAAAAATATTCGATTTGTTGAAGTATACAAGTCCCCCGCAAAAGAGGCGACTTCGACTCGTTCAAAATATGCGATATAAATATTTATCGGCTGCTTCGAGAAGGTAAGTTTATATTATTATTGTACACGTGGATATTATGGCCGTATATATCATTCGCGCATCGTCTGTTTACCTGCACCAAATTATCGTCCATCAATATTCTGTACAATAAAAGAGTATAAGAAATGGTATTACATGATGTGTGATAATTAATATTATATAGAGAATGAATGATTTAGGCAGTGGCGCAACCAAGGGGGGTGTATTGGGTGTCTGGACACCCCCCCCCCCTTGAACCGTATAATAGGAAATTTATATTTAATTATATTCAATAACCATTGAAAAAAAATGTTCAATCTTTTTTAAAATCTAAATCTAGTGTTATAATTTATAACTGATAAATGTTACTAAGTCTTTTGTCCATAGTTTATCGATAATTACTATAAGTTATATGTAACTTTAATCTAAATATACGTGTCACCTACTCACGTGATATAAATTGTTAATAAAATATATTTTAGTTAATAAAACGTTGGACGCCAGTATAGTGTATTCAGAAATAATTATGGCGGTGGTTTGATTCAAATCATTTGAATAAAATAATATAATAGGTAAATATTTAATAGTGGTCGTGACGACTGTCACTTGTACAAATTATACTAACAAATTTGGAAATGAATTGGGGAAATACTGTATACGCAACTGGCGGTCGACCCCCTTGAAAAAATCAAAACTTTTAAAACTTAAAAATAAATATAATACACATACCTACATAATTATTTTGAGTTCAAATTTTGACAAAATTCATCAAAAATTGAATCCTATAACATTACATTTATACTTTGTATTATTATTATTATTATTATTATTATTATATCTATGCGATATTCGGAAATTTAATATTATATGTGAATATTATATAGAGATGACCAAAGTTAGAAAAAAACATGCGCTTTGGGTGTTCACCTTTTTTCATTTCTATTGTTAAATAATGTTGATGTGATAATGATCCTAATGATCCTAACCTAACCCGAAAATCGAACTATGCGTAATTATTGTCTTACAAAATAGGTTAAAATTAACAATGGTGATGCGCAAACGACAATTGGCGGATATTATGTCGTACGAAAGGTCTGCTGCGTATCGGTGAGACCTCATGATATTATCATATTATACAAATTTTTATAACAATAATGTAATATCGAAAAACCGTTTCACGTTTGTACCTATACATATTACATGTATTATAAAAGTTTAACGTAAACGTCAAAAGYGCATCATCATTTGCGCAACATCGAATATTATTATAAATCGCGCATAAMCCTTTTAGAGATATATACATATATGCAGCTAATCGAAAATATTCAATTATTAAGTATWATAATATAATAATAAAATATTTTCGTCGCGATAATTCGATATACAGGCTTTGACGAGGGCGCCGTCGCCGCCTTGGCAAACGGCTCATTAAAATCTGTGAGTCATGTTTTTGCAAATCCCCTCGTCGCAACACCGCTTATTATCGCATATAATTATATTTACTGTCATTCATGCAGGCTACACACACGCACACACACACATCGCAGTATTGTGCATATAAGTATAAATCATTAACGGACCCGCCGGGCGAATTGTTTAATATATATATATTTTTTTTAGGACATGCCATATGTTTTTAATTTCGCAATGCAAAAAATCTGACGTGTCACGGATGTACTACGGTAGTATACCTATATATACCACTGTATAACTGCACTTAAATATCTAAAGTCAATATATTTAA